ATTCGATAATCAATAGCTTTTTGTCTCGTCTTTAACGCCTCAATGATATATTTTTGATATTTATACATGTTTACATATGTTATACCGTTTGATTACACAGCCTACATGTAACATTAGCATGCCATTTTGTGCTCATAATTTGCAGAAATCATAAACGACCAATTATCACACAAAATATGCATGTGAGCATAATATGCTATTGTAATCGTAATTCACGTAGCGCTACGTGCCAAAATATTTCCATCAACAATGATATTTGATAATAGTAGTCACTATTATCAAATATCATTGGAATTCAAAGCACACCTACCACTACACAGAGTGCGAATTTGATCAAAATAAACTGGGCCACTGTGTACGCACAATCTGGTTCAAGACAAATTTATCTGGAAGGATCAGAGTCAATGTGGTAAGTGATTATAGCATTGCAATGCATAACACAGAGCTTTAAACGAGACACGAACTGTGCTAGCACAGATTCTTAACCTAATCACTGCCTTTAACCAGTTTATAAGAATCCAAGGTGGCATTGTGGTTAGTGTGTTGCGCATCACTGTCAATGATTTATGTTTGTGTCGACCCTTCCTAACTGCGAATTTTCATTCAATTGGGCTGAGATGTCCTGCAGCAAACCTATAGGTCTGCACATGCGAGTTATTGGCTACTTGGGCTTCCTTTGAGATGGAGCAATGATATCCGTGGCTCTGTTTCCCACAGTTTGCTGTGGCTTGAGTAGATGCTACCCATTGTTTGATCCTTCAACTGACGAATGATCCAAAAATACTGCTGCCAGACGTCTCACCCACACTCGTTAATACGATCGCGTCACCCCAATATTCTGATCCCTTCACCGGCTCCCAATCTAATCCCATATCAACATCAAAATGAAGATCAACCGTGGACTCACTCCTGCCTACCTCTCCTCTTTCATCTCACTCTCCTCCTAATAACACTCTCCTATCTAGCAACCAATGCCTCCTGTCAAAGCCCCATGTCAGCCTTCGCTCAGTGGAAGGTCGCTCCTTCTCTTCTGCTGCCCCTATAGTATTCTTAGCTTTTTTCGGTAAAGTCACGTTGGTTAAAAATTTAAATTAATAAAAGTACAAAAAATAAAAAAAATCACGACGTTTCAGAAGCAACACAAGCCTCCGTCTTCAGGTGGAACCGTCACAGCCACGACAGCTGATACAGCTGTTGCTTCCGAAACGTCGTGATTTTTTATTTTGTTTTATTTTACTTTTATTAATTTAAATTTTTTACCTACGCGACTTTACCGAAAAAAACCTAAGAATATGAATCCTTGCAGTCACGAAAGCTTCAAATCTAGAATTAATGCCCCTATAGTCTTGAACTGCCCCCCCTCCCAGCGATCTGTATCGTCAACTCCCTGCCCCAAGTCACGTCCAAGATGTAAGGCCTTCCTCTTTTCGTCCACCAAGTGACCGACTATTGCTTTATATTTATTACAAAGGTAACCCTCCTTTCCACAGAATGCTCTTGTTCCACTCTTTGGTACGTTGTCTTTAGGTGTGGTTTCATTTAGAAGCTACGTAAATATAAACTGTATTCCATCATATAGTTTTTTGGGTTAGATCGCGTAAATATACGTGTCGTTAAAACCCGCCACCACCCGACACAGCTAACTAGTAAGGGTTGTGACGTAAACAGAACGTGCCAATTCGTTACTCGTTCAGCACATCGGCGTGTTGGAGAGTAAATTCACTGGAATTGTAAATGTTGTGGGTTTATTCTCCGTCACACTGGTGCGCTGAACTAGTAACGAATTGTCACGTTTTGTTGACGTGACAACCGTTACTAATTGGTTGTGTCGGATGGTGGCGGGTTTAACGACACATACATATTTACTCACTCCAATAAAAAAAACTCGAAAATTGTAAAAAACCTGTTCGGTGGCCGACGGAGCCAGTCATCTCTCAATCTGGATGTTTTGTTTGAGAAGAAACCTGATGGCTCTTTGGGACACTCTGTCTACAGGAAAGCCACCCACACAGATTCCTGTCTGAAACCTGATTCCCACCACCATCCGACACAGAAGAATTCCCTCATCAAAACACTACACCACAGGGCCCACTGCATTTCTGACCAACACCACCTAGCCAGTGAACTGGAACACGAACACCAGGCCCTCAAGATGAATGGATATTCGGACCGCTTTATCCGCAAAGTGTTTTTTTCAACCATAGAGAAATAACCACCTGAGACGCTGATCAAAACACTCACGTTACCATACATAGCAGGTGTTACCAAAAATATCACTTCACAAGTAGACATGACATTATATGAATAACTATTAAGTTACATTAAAGAATAAAACAGTATGTAGAAAAAAACTTTACTTTTAATAATATTGGTCGCGAAAGCCTACATGTTAAACAGATTATATAATACATCTTTAGTCCGATTTTAAAAACCACACACCGTCTTTAACAGATGGCATTCATGGTGCACTCCGCTTGAACACAACATCGACCAGCACAAGTTGCATGCACCATGAAACCCCGTTCACACAAAAAACACTTTTTTGGACAACAGTTTGAACTGGGTTGAGAAATCTCAACACACACGCATGGTAGTGTGAAGGTTTTATCGTATGGGCCTTCTCCCTCTAAACTTCCAGATGGCCACCTTGGCACAGACGACGCTCATCGTGTGTAGGATTGAGTCCCAGGTGTTCCCCAGCATATCAGCTGGGAATGTTTCAACACCTCCTGCTATGGTGCTGTTGGAGATCACTCAAGATTTCTGGCTTAACAAAATACGTAATCGTAACAGGAAAAAGTTGTCAGCATTTCAGCCACGCCAGTCAAACTGCTGCTCAGTCATAATTACTTGATCATGGATCCTTGGTGCGTTTCGTGCCATCTTGAATGTGTGTCGAGCTCATGTATCCAGCATATACAAAATGCGTTTCAGAGATATTTTAAACACCCTAAAATCTCGATTTAAAGCTTTCGTGACTGCAGGGTTTCATCTTCTTGGTTCTTTCGGTAAAGTCACGTAGAAGGGAAATAATAAAATAATAAAAATAAAACATAATAAAATAATTATCACGACGTTTCGGCCACAACGCAAGCAGCCGTCCTCAGGTGAAGACAGCATCTGAAAGGTGTCTCCCCGACAGACCTGGTCTTCACCTGAGGACGGCTGCTTGGGTTGTGGCCGAAACGTCGTGATAATTATTTTATTATGTTTTATTTTTATTATTTTATTATTTCCCACCCTAAAATCGTTGCCTTTTAGAAAATCTCACAACGTATTTTTAAGTGCAATGCTTGATCTGATCCCCGTTGTACCGTAATTGCATGCATGAATGTCCTCTTGAAAATATTTACATATTTGTATAAGTTACGTGTATATATATGTATTTTGTTTAATTCAATTGCATTACTTTAAAACCCACACTGCCTTACAGTGTGCCCCATTGTATGTCCTGAAAATGTATCCACTCGTGAATATCCTTCAGAGATGAATTGAGTAATATTCGCTCATAAACTCAATCTACCAGATGTTTTTTCCTTCTGACAATTGCGCTGACACCATCAAATCGCAATATACGTGAACTAGTCCTGGAGGAAAGCCCAGGATACTGGATATAAGTGGTGCTGGCTCATTGCTCTGGCATGTTAGGTATATATAGAATTAGCCTCCAAACAGCCTCGGCCACCTAGTTAATTGTCTATATATTTATGATAGCGTCCCTGCTGGAATTCCACTAAGTAGCACATAGATCAGAGAACAAGCACAAATCAGAGACATCACATTGATTGTTCGTAAAATTGGGCTTGGGCAGGTCATGTACAATAAATTACGCTTGATTTATATCGCATCTTAATTCGTCTGTATCTCAAGACACTGCACAGAAAAAGTGGGAATATGTCTTCTGTAAGAATAAGAAAGAGCCAATTCTAGGCAGTGGGAAACAAATATTGTGCATCGAGCCTGAACTTGGACTGGGAAAAGGAGTCAACAGCACAATTGCCTTGGGAAGTGCAGTTCCAGATATTAGGAGCAGCAGAGGAGAATGAGAGATCCCCCCCCCCCCCCCCCCATTGAGCAACGGTTAACTGGAGACTGATAGAAAGCCTCTTTTTACACTCACCCCTCCAGCTTTGATAGAGAGCTGGAAGGGAGGGAGCGAGAAGGGAAGGGGATCAGAGTGAGATGTTAGGGCAGAGGTAGGCAGTGCTGAGTGAATGGAGAACAATTTCGCTCCGAGGCACAATGGCCAGTGGGCGAGGCTGGTGACAGAGTGCTAGCCAAAGGACAGAATATTCCTGGGAGGATGATCACTGTACTAGAAAAGTGATGCAGCTTTGTAACTATTCAATCTGTTCACTGTCCGAAAAAAGTTTCGTCTTATTTTTAACGTCTAATTTGCACTGCGTGGCTCATGTATTGTGCTGATTGTCCTGTCTCCTTTGTTCAATGAACATGACCGTAACATTTGCATTTAGTTTACACAGATCATTATATTAATTATACATGTTTACACGTGTGATTGGATTAATACATTGACCGTATAGGACTGTATTTTAATTGATCAATCATTACTTGCCACAGTAAAGCATATCCTTTCACGAGCGGGAGATAGAAGTATCTATCACGGGACATTCAAATGTGGCGATTGCATGGAAGTGGCTTCATCCAGCAGTGGTTAGACTCTACCGATAATCTTCTTGGTTCTTTTGGTAAAGTCACGTAGAATGGAAATAATAAAATAATAAAAATAAAACATAATCATTTTATTATGTTTTATTTGGAAATAATAAAATAATAAAAATAAAACATAATTAATTTATTATGTTTTATTATTTTATAACAAAATAACAATGTTGTATTTTTATTATTTAATTATTTCCATTCTACGTGACTTTACCGAAAAGAACCAAGAAGATGAATCCCTGCAGTCACGAAAGCTTTACATCGAAATTCTCCCGATAATGTTGCTGCTGCTGCTGCCCACTTCTCTGCGCACTCAGGACGCCTTTGGGCCCATACTCATCGGCGGCTTGGAGGAGCAAGCCACCGGCGGTGCCGCCAGCGGCCTGGTCGGCTGCGTGCGCGAGCTGCAGGTCAACGGGCGTGAGTTATCCATCGTCGGGGAAGCGACGAGGGGACGCAACGTGGAGAACTGCAACGTGCCGGTGTGCGAACGCAGGCCCTGCGGACACGGAGGCACCTGCGTTAGGTGATGCGTGCCTAAGCGCCGTCCTCGCAATCGCCCCTTCCCACCCCCCGCGCGTGCGCAGCCGTTTCTGCTCAAAGACGCTGCGGCTTTGTGTCATCGTCGCTGTGTTTTAGCCGTCGGGCCATTCGCACACACTGTGTGTGTGCCGTGGTCGCTTAGGGTCGCGCTGAAGTCCTCCGCAGATTGTTGCAAAACGAAGTGTCGGCGAGAGAGAAAAATGCGTGTAGTCCAGGGTGGAAAATATCAATACAGAAATATATGTTTTTGGCAGGTAATTGCAACTTTTTACTGCAGTTCGATTCAGCGTTTTTTTCTTCTTCTTCCTCCAGGTGAGAGCCGTTTGATTTTGTTTGATTTGGCCAATTATTTAACAATTGCACTGTTGACATTTTGTCATGAGATGAAGTATCCCTTGGAACTCTCATAGAGCAATGGATCATCCAGTGTGTTAGAGAACAGTCATTGGTTATGAGATCCCCTTCAAGTGATTCCTCAGATAAACTTGTCCACACTGGTAATCAATCTACTATTTTTAACTCTCATAGCTGTAATATTTCCAAATAACGTGAACGACCAAATATGATTCGGTGTTTTTTCGTGTAGTCACTGGTGACCAGGCTGAGAATATTAACTCACTACGGGCCCTGTCATCACGTGTTTTCAGATGCACTTCTGCGGCCGTCTGGAACGCTCTTCCTTTCGGTGTTAGGAAGCCACTGGAGCTATGCACTTCTAAATATAGATTGAAAACTCATTTCTTTAGAACTGCTTTTTGTGCTTAGTTTGTTGTCCTTCCCCCAACACCTCGGATTGGAACAGCTGACTAAACATGGTGTGAAAGAAGTTCAACATACATATACGCATACTACACCTGAGAACCTGGATTGGTAGTGGGTGGCTGATTGGATTCGCAGCCAGGTTCTCAGTGGCGCCAGCTCTTTTGACCCCTGAAACAGGTGGTAACTTGTTTGAATCCACATGGCATTATGGGAACAAAACAGCGATGTCTTCAAATTGCTCACCATAATTACAGAAGGCAGCTCTAACTGAACACGATTTAAATCTAGTAATTCTAGATTTGAAGCTTTCGTGACTGCAATGATTCATATTCTTATGTTTTTTCGGTAAAGTCACGTAGGTAAAAACATTAAAAAGTAAAATAAAATAAAAATCACGACGTTTCGGAGGCAACACAAGCTTCCGTCTTCAGGTGGTACCGTCACAGCCACGACGGCTGTATCAAGTAAATGAGAGATTGTAGGAGCTACCACTCCGTTTATATAATAGTCAGCCTTTGTTATGCAGTCTATTCTTAGTCTTAAGCCTCACCTTACCATATTAATAAAAAGTATGCGGCCCTTGCACCCCCACCTTCTCCGACCATTATATAAACGGAGTGGTAGCTCCTACAATCTCTCATTTACTTGATACAGCCGTCGTGGCTGTGACGGTACCACCTGAAGACGGAAGCTTGTGTTGCCTCCGAAACGTCGTGATTTTTAAATCTAGTAATGTTACCTTTAAACGCACTTGTTTATCACTTGTACCTTTCCTCTGCATCGTCATTCTACAATGGCCCTGCTTTCTTATTGCTACGATACATGCATGCATGTTGTATAGGGTGTTCTTTCATGAGCACTGTTGAACATGCACAGCAGACACAGCCTCAACGCAGTACAAATAAGATATCTTGTGCCATAGCCAACGACAAATTCAATTTGTACTCGTTGGTTCTTTCGGTAAAGTCACGTAGGTATGAAATAAAATAAAATCACGACGTTTTGGGCCCACTTCAGCAATTGTTTCTTGCTGTGGTTGTCCCACCTGATGACGGAAGCTTGTGTTGCGCCCGAAACGTCGTGATTTAATTTTATTTTATACCCACGTGACTTTACCGAAAGAACCAAAGAGTATGGATCCCTGCAGTCACTAAAACTTCAAATCTAAATTCAATTTGCTCAAAATCACCATAAGCCCTAGAAGGGTGGCTCCAAAAACGGTGCGGTTCCAGATTTTTAAAAAAGTATATCAAATTGCCTTACTTTCATCTGTTATAAGCTTGTGTGACTGGGCCAAATGACTTGTAAATTTGTGAACTTTTGCGGTCGCTTGCAAAGGTATTTCGGCTGTAATAATGCCTTGAGGCGGAAACACTTGTGTGCACAACATCGCGGTTCTGTGCTTTGGAGCTTACTTTTCAACTGGTGTTAGGTACGCTACAAACAAGAGCAATGTTTTGATTTTCTGGTCTTCCCCAATGACAGCCAGTCACGAGACTCCCAACTGCTCACAATACTTTGTTGATCTTCTTGGTACTTTCGATAAAGTCACGTAGAATGGAAATAATAAAATAATAAAAATAAAACATAATAAAATAATTCTCACGACGTTTCGGCCTCAACGCAAGCAGCCGTCCTCAGGTGAAGAACAGGTCTGTCGGAAAGACAGCGTCTGAATGAAACACCACCAGGCTTGGAACGTATATTTAAGCTTGGAGCGTATATTTAAGCTGGGTTGGAGGGGGATGAGCGCCTTGACAAAATAATTTGCATATCAATAGGAATTTAGCATGTTTATGCATAGTTATGCTAAATTCCTCTTGATATGCAATTTTTTTCGTCAAGGCGCTCTTCCCCCTCCAACCCAGCTTAAATATACGCTCCAAGCCTGGTGGTGTTTCATTCAGACGCTGTCTTTCCGACAGACCTGTTCTTCACCTGAGGACGGCTGCTTGCGTTGTAGCCGAAACGTCGTGAGAATTATTTTATTATGTTTAATTTTTATTATTTTATAATTTCCCTTCTACGTGACTTTACCGAAAGAACCAAGAAGATGAATCCCTGCACTCACGAAAGCTTTAAATCGAAAAATACTTTGTTGGTTGCAGCAGTAACGAGTTACATGTCGGTAAAGAACTGCATCCTGGGAGTCCAGCCCTGTGAATAGGCCAAGAGGCCCCCACAGTGTGCCCCTTGCAGCGGTAGGTTTTGTCTGATGACAGACACCGCCTCTGACTACAAATAGATTATACGAGAAAGTCATTCCTATAAAACACGTACAGGAGGCAGTGAATTTGCTTTAAGAGCAGAATGCTAAAAGTGCCTACAGAATCTAAGATAAATTACTTTTTCGATATGCGGTGTATATTTTTATTAATATATGATGTGCTTTATTTCAATATGTAGTAAATCCAAGCGTAAATGTACCATCGTAATATGTGATTGCAGTATATTGTATGGAATTGGAACTCCAAAAAAGAACTATCATTAAGTCATTCCAACTTATTTTTTGTCTTAGTATCTTGTGACCAAAACTTTTAAACCACCACTTGTAAATAGATGGATTAGAGTGCGAGCATTTGGGCCACGTGATCATATTCTGACTCAAGAACCCCATGAAGGAGGGTAGCACGCACGCCAAGTTAAAGTGTCTCCCTTCTCACATGAGCAGTCGGACGGAATTGACCCCAATTGGTAGCTCTTAGTCGATGGTGGAAATTCCACATTCCCATGGTCACGGAAAAGTATATTCATCTGCCAACCACTACCTATTTACGAATTAAATCAATGTACAGTCCTTTGTCAATTTACAGAGTTTTGCTTGATAAATGCCTATGCTGTGTGCTAACACTTTGTCGCTCACGGAGGTTGTTTGATCATACTTCACCGTGTTAGCGTGCAATGGTGAATCGTCGGTAGCTCAAGACCGGTTAGCAGTCATGGCTGGGAATTGGACTCAAGATTGCCAGCTATCCGAGTGAGGGGCACTAACCACTGCACAATCACTTCCCACAACAACCTACCACTGTGGGGCTTGTTTCATTTGTCACGGAGGAATAAGAGGTTGAGTCGACCCGTCAACTGAATGTTGAGAAACCAAAACTAAGGGCATCGTTTAGGCCTGTCATTTAGCAGTGGAGGCAGAGTTGGTGGTTCACGAAGAGACGGACCACGGTGGCGATAGACACTAACCCGCAGGACATCGGGAGGCGTTTAAGGAAACGTTTCAACGGCATCTGATCCTGTTTGGCATTTTCCAACTGTCACAATCAGGACCCTCCTGAAAACCAGTCTGTGAGCCTAAGCGCTGCTCTTTTCACATAAATAAGTTGTCATTATTCTAAAAAATAGAAACATAAAAATCTTTACTTTGACATTACACTCTTGATCCTAAATATCACTTCCCAGCAAAGTAATCTAAGCTCAGCCACGTGGTGTCGTGATTAGAGCCATTAAATAGCAGTTGAAAGGTTTGGGTTAAAATTTCAATTGCGTGTAAAATTCATCCAATATCCTTCTGACACCTATAATGCACTGCCCGGCGGAAAATCAACAGTTGTTTTCTTATGGAGAGACTGACCTCTGCTCCAAGAAAGTGGAATTCCATCACCTACGAGTCACCAATCAAGATGAACACTATCTCATTGCACGTTTGGGCATTGAGAGCCTTTCACTTCCATAATTATCTATCAACCAAAATGTAAGAGTGTACCCCTGTTTCTCTCTCTCTCACCTCACCGACCTCGCTGTCACGCTACGAATAAAAAGAAATGCAACAGAGGGGACCCTAATGCAACTTACGTGTGTCCATGCCAGATAGGATAAATGTGCACGCCAAAGGACAGCTCTGCCTCTAATCTCGGAGGCCATATATTACTTCCTCCAGCATGCATTCAATCGCTTCAATTATTGCCGAATGCAGCATGAATTCACGCGCATGTGTTGCACAGAGCGTAGGGTGACCTTTCTTAAGGTGAGTGCAGGGCTTCGAATTTAACTCGGACATTGCCCATGGAAATATACATGCCGTACTGCATTAGCATGGTCTCCATATGCTACATTTTGTGTCCTAGACACGTTCGTGGTAGTGGGTTGCAGAAATAAAAGCAGAGTGAGGGGGGAGTCCAAATGCATGACTGAGTAATCGAGTAAGCCAAGGCTGAGTGGAAATGTTAGGGCATTATTTGACTGATATTTGTTTACGTAATTTTGCACTCAGTGTTGACATTGAATGTGGGATACTGGCATTGAATTTGGGTAAGCTAATGCGTATTATAAAAACAAATTTAGAAGCGTGCATATTTGCTACAAGTGTCTTCCTTGCTCAAGCGAGGATTCTTTGTCCTGAGCCACTGGTTTACTCTTCATATTTGCGACAGGTTCCAATTATGTATTAAAAACCACGCAGTGATAGCCATTCATTCAACAAGCAAATGGACTTGCAACCTTTCCATTGTGCATTAAAGGCTCTACCACAGTGCCACCTGGCTGGGTAACGTCTACCACTAAGCCATGCACAGCACAGGAGTATTGCACAACGAGATACATTGAGAGTGAAGTGGTACAGTGCAGTGGTTAGTGCATCCGGTAACCTGAGTTGGATTCCCAGTCGTGGCTAATATCAGTCATCAGTGATGCCTGAACCAGTCCTGCCCCCCAAATGTATGAACCGGCACTGAATAGTGTGGTGAAGTATGGTCATACAGCGCCAATGATCACAAAGAGGAGCACAGATGTATGTATCTTAAACTTATTTCGCACCGTACGTAGCCAACCGTGCTAATCTGAGATGCAGGGGAAGGACAACAAACTAAACACAAAAAGCAAGATAATATGTCTCACAATGCACATTGTTGAAATGCTCAAGAGATTATTATCCTCAATCTACAATGCCTACCCATATTCTATGGGTCTTTCGGTAAAGCCACGTAGAAAAATAATAATATAACGACGTTTCGATCGCAACACAAGCAATCGTCTTCAGGTGAGAGAGAGAGAAATCTGCTGAGACAAAGTCTTATATAGGCCTGAGATGGGTGCATCAAGGTAGGTGGGTAGAGCTAGAGATGGTCCAACCACAGAGGCAGGGGAAGTGGCCTTTTTTGTCAGAGATTAGCCCGTAGGGTGCCAACCAAAGCTGTGGAGTTGGCCATTGTGTTGTGTGTAGCCCAAGGGTAAGTGGGCGGGGCTAGAGATGGTATTTGCATGTAAATGTAAGATCGGAGGGCGCCCTGAGGCTGTGGAGGTGGCCATTGTATTGTGAGAGATTAGCATGTCAATGTAAGAGAACCACTGCAACGGTGGATGTGCTAGTGAGACATCCAGCCTGTCAATGCAAAGACATCCAACCTGGCAATGCAACTCAGAGAGTCGGAAATAACAGCTAAAATCGGCAGGTAGGATGGAAACATCACAGCCAGTTATGACTTAAACTGGTTAATAACGTCCTTCCATCTTCTTGGTTCTTTCGGTAAAGTCACGTAGAAGGGAAGTAATAAAATAATAAAAATAAAACATAATAAAACAATTCTCACGACGTTTCGGCCACAACGCAAGCAGCCGTCCTCAGGCGAAGAATGAAACACCACCAAGCTTGGAGGGTATATTTAAGCTGGGTTAGAGGGGGGGAGGTGGGAAGAAGAGCGCCTAAACAAAATAATTTGCATATCAAGAGGAATTCAGCATATGTAAAATGCGTAGGAGGTGGGCGGGGGGGGTCCAAATCAATACTATGCCCGTGCATTATGCAGGATTAGCAGCATCAAAGGGGGGGGGGGGGGGGGGTAGCATTAACAAAGGAAAGGAATGTTAATAGTATGTAGCTGCAGTTACTAAACAACCACGTAAAAAACTAAAGTATAAACTGCATAACAAACTAAAGTATAAACTACATAGCATCATCAGTATACTTACTATACTCTACAATAAGCTGAGTTACTAACAGTAAGTAATACATTAAAAAATTTCTACGTTGATACACATTAGGGTGGGTAGAATAATACATAGTGTTATATTAAAATGTATAGCAATACAGTATGTAATTTAATGTTGGGTTTGCCTATGGCAGTATATAGTACGGTATAGACGCGTGTGATGTAAGAGAATAAAGTTTAGATGGAAGCATATTATACAATTTTTTACAACGTAGAAATTTTTTTATGTATTACTTACTGTTAGTAACTCAGCTTATTGTAGAGTATAGTAAGTATACTGATGATGCTATGTAGTTTATACTTTAGTTTGTTATGCAGTTTATACTTTAGTTTTTTACGTGGTTGTTTAGTAACTGCAGCTACATACTATTAACATTCCTTTCCTTTGTTAATCCTACCCCCTCCCCCCCCCCCTTTGATGCTGCTAATCCTGCATAATGCACGGGCACTGTATTGATTTGGAACCCCCCCCGCCCACCTCCTACGCATTTTCCATATGCTGAATTCCTCTTGATATGCAAATTATTTTGTTTAGGCGCTCTTCTTCCCACCTCCCCCCCTCTAACCCAGCTTAAATATACGCTCCAAGCTTGGTGGTGTCTCATTCTTCACCTGAGGACGGCTGCTTGCGTTGTGGCCGAAACGTCGTGAGAATTGTTTTATTATGTTTTATTTTTATTATTTTATTACTTCCCTTCTACGTGACTTTACCGAAAGAACCAAGAAGATGAATCCCTGCAGTCACGAAAGCTTTAAATCGAAACGTCCTTACAATGATTGCTCCGTTTGTACCCATCTTCTTGGTTGAAATTGTGTCCGTGTTTATATATCTGGATGGCTTCATGAACGAATCTTTGTTGATCGTGAACATAAGACAGATCTGAAACACGGTAGGACCAATACCTCGGCCATGGCTGATCATTGTTTTAACGCTGTGGGCACACACGAAATAGATTTTTCCAAGACGAAGGTACTCTGCAAACCTACTGGCTATCAACAAAGATTCGTTCATGAAGCCAGTCACGAAAGCTTTAAGTCAATGCGTACTCAGTATCATGCGTGAGAAATTCTGCACCGGGGAGACAAAGGCTGCCGAGCATAGTGTTGGACGCACAAACTTCAAATATTCCATGCCAACTATATCAGACGCTCGCTAACAGCACTAATTCCTATAGTCCATGAGGCTAAACGGGAAATAATGTCTGCGTGCACGTGCTTGCATGTGTGCACACGTGCTTACACTACAACAACAACACAGCGTGACAATTGCACACCAACTCAGCTTCAATGCCTGGTCCTAAATAGGTGCTCGCGAGCAGAATTTACTCCTGCAGACTGTTTAAGACTTAAACAGGGGAATTTATCTTATCATACATTTATGTAGCGCCTTAACCAAGGCGACGTACAGTGAATTACATATGGTGCAAGATGGTTGGCGAGATGAAACGAGATGAGTGGATGGGATATATGTAAAACGAGGTAGTCGTAGTGGAGGTGGTGGCGATGATGGAAATGAACGAAGATGGAAATGAGATGAGTGGATTCATTATGGGTCACCATGGGGAGTTGGGGGACAGGGAAGGCGAGTGGGGAGGATAACAAGGGGGGAAGGAAGGGTGGGCAAGAGAGAATTAAGTGGGTTTTAAGAGAGGAAGGTAGTGAGGGAGAGGGTGATTGTTTGACATGCAAGGGAAGCTTATTCCAGTGACGAGGGTCTAGGAGAGAGAATGAGCGAAACCAAGACTGGAAGAGCGGAAAGAGACAGCAAAGATTTCGAAGGCAGAGAGCGGGCAGGCATGTAAAGTGAGACGAGAGAAGAGAGGTAATGAGAAGCCATGCCGTGGAGAGATGTCCATACCAAAGGGAGACATTTAAAGAGGCAAGGATACAAAAAATTAACCCGTAAAAACAAAGTTTTTCACTATAAATCCTTTATATGCGTGGCATCGGTTTTATTTTATTATTCATTTCTGTTTTTCTTGAGTAAGAGTTTCATTTTTATCACATTGGTATTTTAAATTAACTATGAAAAAAAAATTCCTAAAAAGTGGAAAATTTTGGAGAAAAAAATTTCACGAAAATAAATTGTCACGCACAACGAGTCTGTGTGCAAAATGTCAGCTCGATTGGATCACGGGAAGTGGGTTAACAAAAGACCGAAAGATTTGCACGGTCGTAAGCGCGCAAGCAAGAAAGCAAGTGAACTTAATATAAAGGATTTAAAAATAGGGTGCCAGCTGATTGTTGTTGTGTGTGTGTGTATGCGCGCATCGTCCGTGTGCAGTGATGCAGAGAACTGGTTTTGCGAATGCACACCCGGGCGACATGGGAAGCTGTGCCAATTCGAGGCTTGCGTCGAGGATCCTTGCGGACACGGAGCCACCTGCGTCCGTCGAGGAAGAGGAGGGGAAGGAGGAGCGGCCGGCCCCGTGTGCCTCTGCCCCTTTAGGGCGCACAGGACCGCTGTGCGATGACCGTAAGACAGCGTTGTTCGGGCGATGGCGAGCACGTCAATTGTAAGGGGCCGTCTATAAATAACGTCACGCGATTTTGGACGATTTTTTTACCCCTCCCTCCCTCCCTCGTCACACAGCGTCACAAAAAAAGTCAGACCCCCCCCCCTCTCAAATATGACGTCACAAAGCTCTGCCCTCCCCCTCCCCCCTCAAAACCATATTTTCATTTTGAAAAAAAAACGTGCTTCAAATCGCTTTAAACTATTGTAGTGCGTTTTTAATGTGACGCTGCACTCTGATGTTGTAGGAGTGTTATAACAATTAGTGTTGTTATAACAATTCTATATTTATTTAAAGTTGCGCATTTTGATGTGACGTCACATTTCTCAACCCCCCCCCCCCCCGCGTCACAAATGTCTGACCCCCCCCCCCCAGGTGCGTGACGTCATTTATGGACGGCCCCTAATCGGATGACCCCCCACGGGCTGGTGGCGTTGGTGATCCTGCGTTATTGCTCCGGTTTCCAGTGTGTAAATTAGATTGGTGCGCTGTATTTGTGCGTGTGCGTGTCTATAGGTTGGGCGTGGTGCATGGCCACCCACCCCCTCGTATTCTGTGCCGGCCTTAATAGGTGCTCGCTAACAGCACTTGCCCCAACAGTCTGTTAAGGCTCTGGGAAGGATTTTTGTGCGTGAGTTTTGCATGCGTAGTATAGTTGCTAAGGTACCACCCAGTGACGTGAGTTTGATTCTTGTCATCAGTGGCGAATATCTGGAACTGGTCCCTGGTCCTCCTGTAGGTCAACTCGGCCTTTAATGAGTACCTGGTATGGGTGTGTAAACATTAGCACTGGGGAGGCAAAAGTGGCTGGGCATGGTTGTGGCCACACTGACTCGTTGTGATCTCCAGCCCATGGTGATCTGCTGGACCAGTGTAGTTGAAGCACGGTCCTTCATGTATAAAGAAGTTGAGGGGCTACGTGATGTGGGGGGGGGGGAGCACTCCCGACTTGCGGTGCTGAGTGTGAGCATTGTCGATGCCACTGAGTGGACGGAGCCACCCGCTCCTGCAGCTCGTGGGTGTGAGGTGGAGTGTGGGGGCAGTTCACGGGCAGCCACGAGGCTGTCAGTTGGGGCAGTTCACAGGCAGCCACGAGGTTGTCAGTTGGGGCAGTTCACGGGCAGCCACGAGGCTGTCAGTTGGGGCAGTTCACGGGCAGCCACGAGGCTGTCAGTTGGGGCAGTTCACGGGCAGCCACGGGGCTGTCAGTTGGGGCAGTTCACGGGCAGCCACGAGGCTGTCAGTTGGGGCAGTTCACGGGCAGCCACGAGGCTGTCAGTTGGGGCAGTTCACGGGCAGCCACGGGGCTGTCAGTTGGGGCAGTTCACGGGCAGCCACGAGGCTGTCAGTTGGGGCAGTTCACGGGCAGCCACGAGGCTGTCAGTTGGGGCAGTTCACGGGCAGCCACGGGGCTGTCAGTTGGGGCAGTTCACGGGCAGCCACGGGGCTGTCAGTTGGGGCAGTTCACGGGCAGCCACGAGGTTGTCAGTTGGGGGCAGTTCACGGGCAGCCACGGGGCTGTCAGTTGGGGCAGTTCACGGGCAGCCACGGGGCTGTCAGTTGGGGTAGTTAACGGGCAGCCACGAGGCTGTCAATTGGGGGCAGTTCACGGGCAGCCACGGGGCTGTCAGTTGGGGCAGTTGACAGGCAGCCACGGGGCTGTCAGTTGGGGGCAGTTCACGGGCAGCCATGGGGCTGTCAGTTGGGGCAGTTCACGGGCAGCCACGAGGCTGTCAGTTGGGGCAGTTCACGGGCAGCCACGGGGCTGTCAGTTGGGGCAGTTCACGGGCTGCCACGGGGCTGTCAGTTGGGGCAGTTCACGGGCAGCCACGAGGTTGTCAGTTGGGGGCAGTTCATGGGCAGCCACGAGGCTGTCAGTTGGGGCAGTTCACGGGCAGCCACGGGGCTGTCAGTTGGGGCAGTTCACGGGCAGCCACGAGGTTGTCAGTTGGGGCAGTTCACGGGCAGCCATGGGGCTGTCAGTTGGGGCAGTTCACGGGCAGCCACGAGGTTGTCAGTTGGGGCAGTTCACGGGCAGCCACGGGGCTGTCAGTTGGGGCAGTTCACGGGCAGCCACGGGGCTGTCAGTTGGGGCAGTTCACGGGCAGCCACGAGGTTGTCAGTTGGGGCAGTTCACGGGCAGCCACGAGGCTGTCAGTTGGGGCAGTTCACGGGCAGCCACGGGGCTGTCAGTTGGGGCAGTTGACGGGCACCCACGGGGCTGTCAGTTGGGGCAGTTGACGGGCACCCACGGGGCTGTCAGTTGGGGCAGTTGACGGGCAGCCACGAGGCTGTCAGTTGGGGCAGTTGACGGGCACCCACGGGGCTGTCAGTTGGGGCAGTTGACGGGCACCCACGGGGCTGTCAGTTGGGGCAGTTGACGGGCAGCCACGGGGCTGTCAGTTGGGGCAGTTGACGGGCACCCATGGGGCTGTCAGTTGGGGCAGTTGACGGGCACCCACGGGGCTGTCAGTTGGGGCAGTTCACGGGCAGCCACGAGGCTGTCAGTTGGGGCAGTTCACGGGCACCCACGGGGCTGTCAGTTGGGGCAGTTGACGGGCAGCCACGAGGCTGTCAGTTGGGGAAGTTCACGGGCAGCCACGGGGCTGTCAGTTGGGGCAGTTGACGGGCAGCCACGAGGCTGTCAGTTGGGGAAGTTTACGGGCAGCCACGGGGCTGTCAGTTGGGGCAGTTGACGGGCAGCCACGGGGCTGTCAGTTGGGGCAATTCACGGGCAGCCACGGGGCTGTCCGTTGGGGTAGTTGACGGGCAGCCACGAGGTTGTCAGTTGGGGCAGTTGACGGGCAGCCACGGGGCTGTCAGTTGGGGCAGTTCACGGGCAGCCACGGGGCTGTCAGTTGGAGCAGTTAACGGGCAGCCACGGGGCCGTCAGTTGGGGCAATTTAGGGAGTAAGAGAGTCGATATGAATTAGGGTGAAATAGTAGTTGGAGGCAGTTAAGCTTAGAGAATAAAGTGAGTGGCTGGGTTGTGAGAACTCCATAGGAAGTTATAGGATAAATAAGTATAGGAGTGTAAACAACAGGTTCCGGATTGTTACAATTGTGAAGTAATTTATTTTATTAAATTGTGTTATCCATTCTGGGTGAAAAATATACACGATTGTCAGCGTCTTCTCCTACTGTGTACATATAGCAACATTTAGGCGACGTTACACCTGTACACAAAGACACCTTCCTTGTGCGACACGGCCAGCACAATTTCGGGTTCTACTGCCCAAAGACCGAGAAACCAGCTGATGTTTTGGTGATCTGTCCTTGAGTCTGAAATAGTTTTTCAATCGACTCAAAGCAGTGGTGTTCCGGAGAGCCGACCATGTGTGATAAGTGTGCACATTTTTGAAAAATTGGACTCGTAAGAGTGCGACGATAACAAATGTTCAGACTTACTCATGCTTGCTCGCTTTCATAGGTGCTTTTGAACAATACTTAGCCCCTACAGCCTGTAAGGAGTATATGGGAAAATGTTGTCTTTGTATGCTTGTGTGTGTGTGTGCATATTCTTTTGCATAGGTTCAGGGAGTGGTAGTACATTGTGCTATGAACCTAATTACCTGAGGTTGATTACCTGCCATAACGAACATACGTACTGTGGTCAGTGGTGCCTGATGCTGTTATGGACCTCCTGCAGGTCTGCTTGGCCTTAACTTAATACCCGGAGTGGAAAAACATCAGTACGAGAGAAACAAAGACGTGGTGCTATTAGTCCTCCCACCTCGTGCACATTAATGCATTACGTTGAATGTGTTCCTGTGATCACATTATCAGTTAGCGGTAATGTTGTTTTACTGCTACATTGTTTTGTTCTTGCATTACTGTTCCTACAAATGGACCGGTTCATTAGTTTTTTGGTGATTTTTTAAGTAAAATTATTCCCTAAACTTTCGCAATGAGAACATTATGGCATAAGACGGGTTTTGGATTCATGGGAGAAAAAACGTCACAAGACAAAGCCTAAACCTAATGACAGAGGCACTCACAATTTTAAAAGTAAACTTCTGACCGCACCATTATCTACGTCACTTGATATAGGAGACGATTACATTTGTATGAGTAGCTATTGTAATTTGTTTGTATGAATTTATCAACGTTACAAGTTTAGTTTTTGTAGGCTTTCATACGAATGATGCTATGTGTATCGAGGCACTGATTCACGTGGGCTTGTTTAGCCATATATAAAATCTTTTTTTTGGGTTGGATTGTGTAAATATAAATGTGTCGGTAAACCCACCACCACCCGACACAGCCAATTAGTAAGGTTTGTCACGTAAACAAAACGTGCCAATTCGCTACTAGTTCAGCACACCGGTGCGTTAGAGAGTAAACTCACAACATGAACTAGTCACTAATTGGCAAGTTTTATTTACGTGACAAACCTTACTAATTAGCTGTGTCGGGTGGTGGTGGTGGCGGATTTAACAACACAGTTATATTTATGCGGCCCAACAAAAAACACCTCTATTATGGGTATTATTTGTCGCGACAGCCTATGTGTTAAACATGTTTACCCATTCAGACGCCGTGTGGAGCAGCAGAAGCATTATTTATGCAGTGGGACAATGTATGAGTTACGTTGCTGTATTCACATGATATTTTTATGATGTGTTGCTCTGCACGACTACTGCATTCCCTTGTTTGCTCAGCAGATGATGATTATCAGTTGTTTGTTTTGTTTTTAAAGTTGGCGTTTGACTGAGTTGAGATACGTTTTGAACAACGGATTTAGTTTGGTCTCTGTGTGTTTGTGTTTTCACTCAGAATCAAAGCTGCACGGAGAATGTGATTTTGTGTTGCATTATTGGACTGTATAGGGATTTATTCCTGAGGTCCTCTGAGCAATGCATTCACCAGTGTCAGTGCTTACTGAACCCTTTTGCTGAGTAAATACTTTTATTTTCGTCGCTTCCACTTGTGCAAATAATGCTTGCGCATAATATCAGGTAACAAATTAGGAGGTAGCTGTGGCATGGTAATTTGCAATCTGTGTCCCAAGACGCGCGGCCGTTAATTCCGTAGCAGCAAGTCACAGATTAGCTTCGTGGACAAATAAATACTAGCACAAATGCATAATTAAGTTTATCTCCCGAAAGCAAGGAAATGTTGTGTAAGGTTTATTCAATCTTTTGGGATTGAAAGTAATTTTAAAAAGTAACAAGGGTATAAGCATTGTTGACCTTAAAGTAAAACTTAAAATGTAGTTACTAATGGGAATCCAAAGTTGAGTTTTTTTATATTTTGTTTCAGGCAAATTGATGCGGGAGAGTTTGTAAATCACTAGCAACATAATCACGCTCAGATAGTATTCATTGCTGAGTGTTCAAGTAGAACGAATGTTATCTGAAAATAAATCAGGTTGCATTGTGGAGGATCACGGGGTATCATTAAAATGAAGAAAAAAACCCATAACAATTCCTTTACGCTGCTGATGAGAAACATAAGGTTGCAACCACTCCAGTGTTGCCTGTTTAAACACACACTCACGTGTAAAGCATCTGTCCAGAAGGACAAAAGGGAAATTTGTATGTCGACAGACAGTTTTATTATTATTTATTTACAAGATGCCCAATGGTAACCTTGTGCTTAATATTGAAGCGCTGGCACTCTGGCAGACTGCTTAACTCACAATTGGAAGGTTACATGCTTAAACCCTTCTGGGTGGGTGGGGGCGTTGGGTTGGGGTCGGCTTTACACTTATTTAGTTATCCTGGAGGATATCCCCCTCCCCACCCTACCCTTGGGTGAGTAAAATGTATATCACTTTGTGGGAAGTCAAAGACTTGGCAATGTGATATCGGCCACCATTAGCTCAGGGCTGCGGGTGGGGACGAGAACCGTTTGAGTTGAGGGCGGGTGGGGGCCACTTTGACTTTGACATTACACAGCCACTTGCTTCTCCACTTACCTGTTGCAACAATTTATCAACAAGCAGAGGGGGGCCATCGACATATTGGCCTAACGGCTAATGTGTTCAGTAGATGAACCCACGAGTGAAGCCCCCGTCACTTGAGTCATTGCTTCGACAATGATGTCCAGTGGCGGCTCACCTCCAACAAGTAACTCAGCCTGCTCATCGCTTCATTGGCTCTCAAGGCCTTAAGTAGATTCTTGATCCGCCAGCGAGTGGTCGATTCGGTCGAAGGCTTGGCGGGGGGGGAATGAACGGCTGCGATGGTGACTTAATGACCTGGGGTGTCAGTTCCTGGGAGAACTTTGTGTGGCTTGCTGTCGAGGTAATGGACTGTGAAGGGGCCCTTCAGGTTGCTGTCCTTGCAGTGTTTCACATTAATTTTAATACTCGCGGAATCCACTTAGCATCCAGTGTGAGCGGCGTGGCCTGAACATGCGAATATTCACTGGGAATATTTCAAAAAGCTGTCACGATGAGCGTTGCGTTCCAAACTGTGCAGGGTGAGGGTATAGGTTGTGCACAGTTTCGGCACATTCTAATGGAGATGCCTCTGATTCATAGAGATGTAGCTTTTTAGAATCGATGGGGTCTGATAAGTAAAAAATTGGCCTTGCTTGGTGAGCCTTCATCTTAATATGTAAAAATATATTTGCAATCACAAACCTCCCCAATATCAAGACATTTACATTTTGAAACGAAGCTTTTTTTTCATGGTGGGGTTGACGGATATTGCAGTGTGTGAGACACCCACATGCCTCTCGGGCAACGCGGGGCCTGACACAAGGGCAGGATACCAAGTGGGTTACTGACCTCTATCGCTGTCGATTTCGAGCAGTATACTCTGGTTTATATCAATTGTCTATGTTTTTTTCTTTCTTAAGATTCAACAAAACTATATAATTAACAAGTAGGGCCATCCTGAAAAAAAAATTCAGTATTGAGGTTGAGCAGATTCCCACGGAAAAATACAAATATAATTATAATTTCAGTGAATAGAAGAGGAAATAATGGTTTTTAACAGAAATAACAAATATCAGTTTATTGTAATGTCAAAAATGGAAATGCATATCCATCAGCAAATGATGCCAAGTGGAAAAGTTGTATAAGAGGGCGCGTCTCGTGGAGTCTGAGCATCACAGCCAACTCTACGTGCAGCACAAGTGCTCACTGTAATGACAATCGCTTCTGTGCTTCTCCACAACTTTCAAGGTGCTATTTATTTATTTAAGTAACTGACCTTGTGCCTGTAGTACCACTTTCAGGCCTGTCTCGCCTCTTTAACTGGCTGATTAATGGTTTGGATAACCGTGCTTTTTGCTCCAGCCCCGCGTTTGGTGCATTGTTTGCGGTTGAGAGATTTGGTTTTAAAGTAGGGGACAAGGTGGGTCAATGCTGTGGTTCATTTTATGTTTTATGCACCGCCAGTTGTATTTATTTTATTATTCATTCCTTTATTCCTTAATTATTTAGTTCATATTTTGTAGCTCCAATAGGGCATGCACTGCCTATTTACAAGCACCTCCTATCATATATTCTGCCAAATAGGAATGTTGTTCCATTGCATTTGATCGAAAGTACACGTTGCAGAGAATATCTGATCGTTTGTAAGAGTAGCTCATTATAACACTGGTCAAAATATTACGAGCATAAAAGTGAACCAAACATTTGTAAATGATGAAGACACATAAATTGTATGCCATCCTCTGACTTCATGTCAAAAGATAAGAAAGTCTTTCACTGAGCTTGGAAGTGAATTTTCCAGTTGGCCAAAACTTTTGGTAGGAAATAATTGGCATGCAGATGAATAATGATTGATGGAAGAAAGTTATGCAATTTTTCCCGACATAGACCGATCTACGCTTTCATATTATATCCTGGGATCATTTATATTTCAGCATCAATGGACTTTGATGCAGCCTGCAAGGATTGCACACTCATTAACCTGAAGCCATTTATCATGGGATTTGAGGCAGCTGGTCGAATGAAATATCACAGTATTGGCCATAAGCACTCTACCTCGAGACTCTTATAGCTATTGACAGGTTGGCTACATTTAGCCAACCGTGTGGTCCGGTGTTCTCAGCAATTGATACCTGGATATGATCTGGCCACAGAGAAATGTCCCTCAAAGGGACAACAGAGATTTATTTGAGCGTGATATTGCAAGTTATGCATGGATAGATTATAATGAACAAGAGCAGGCACTGTTTGTGGTTGTGAATGGAAGGGCTGTACCGTATATATCGGCAACGTAGCGGTTTTGTTTTCGGTTGCGTAATTTCCTGACTACCGTAAGGGAAGCAGCGGTGCAGTGGCTCGCACGCCGTGCTATTAAACACGAGTTTTATTTGCTAGCATGGCTAACATCAGCGTCCAATGATACCAAAACAGAGCCTGGGTGCACTACCTTCACCAAACGCGTGAAGTGTAGTCCAACAATCCTCATGGGGTGCAGAAACGCCTTCTTCCAGCAGTGAATCGACAGAAGGCTGTAAATCATTGTTATTACCATGAGGCCGGCGACCAAGGTCAGACGCTGGGATTCTGCAGGAGCAGGCCTTGGAAGCCAGCTATGAGCTGGGCAACAGCTGATGGTGAGGTGGTGTAGTTGCGTCAACAACATTAGTCAAGTTGACCTCTTGATTGTCAATTATAAATGTAACTCTTCAATTTTTTTTTCACCTCAATCAATATTGGCCTGCTTTACAAACTGAATTGGGTCGACTCCACCAAGGCCTTCCATCCTGCGTGATCGGCTTCTGGGTATTTTTGCCTGGAGGACGTCCTCCGAACGTCTCCCGGGGGAATCTTTCTTTCGGCATCTTTAGCAGATGACCCACCCACCGTAGTAGCTGGCTTCGCTCCATGCTCACTAGTTCCGACTGGACGTTGAGTCTATGGCGGATAGCCGTGCTTCTTACTCTATCCTGGAGAGAGCCCTGCCACCCTGCGCAGGAAGCCCATTTCTGTTGCTTTTTTTTACCTATCACAACATGATATGGAGGGTTACGACACAAAAATAACGCGATCTAAACCCAAAAACGTTGATTATGAATGATATTTAGTTTTTGCTTATTTGCCATTTCAGCCACGTATTCATCTATATTTTGATGTGTTTTGTTCAATTCATACCCACTGCACAATATACAATGTTTTATTTTTAACTTGAGCAACATCTGACACAATTACTCGATGCCTTCTATGCTACAGTGAAACAGAAGGATGCTGTTGAGTGGCCGGTTTGTTGATTTCATGAAAGTTAAACCCTCTTTAGTGTTAATTTATGTAATGGCAAACAGACGGACGTTATTGGAAAACAATGTACGTCCAATTATGCGTCATCATAATAATCAGCCAAGATCAATCATAGTCAGCCAAGACCACTAGGGCTGAGCCTCATTACTTATTTGAACAGGGACACACTTTAACCTATGACCTGGATAACTATTCTTATTTATCTTTCATGTTTTATATCTGAAACGTTTGTGATTTGCATCCTATCATTTCTCCCTGTATACGGTGTATATGATATATAATTGCAGGGCTCCTTCACGTGAAAGGCACTTGATTTACCTCTCGCTCTCGCTCTCTTTTCAGCAATACACGTGACCGTACCCAGTTTTGATGGAACCGATGAGTTTGGCTTCACGTCGTTTTTGGCCTACCCGGCAGTGCCAGGGCTGGACGACGCCTTCGAGTTTCTCGTGAGGCTCACGCTTGCCAACAACTCCTCGGCCCTGCGCGACAACCTCATTTTCTTCGCTGGGCAAAAGGGCAAAGGTGAGGAGGCCAAGGCTGCCTAGCCGACGTGCAAAGTGGGGGTCCCTTTTCGATCGTGGCCCGTGTGTGTTTGGCTGCAGTCATGATCACCCAATTCATTTTTTTTAATCCTTTATATTAAGTTCGCTTGCTTGCGTGCTTGCGTGCTTGCTTGCTTGCTTACGACCGTGCAAATCTTTCGGTCGTTTTTTAACCCACTTCCCGTGATCCAATCGAGCTGACATTTTGCACACAGACTCGTTGTGCGAGACAATTAATGTTCGTGAAAAATTTTTTCCAAAATTTTACACTGTTTAGGGAAAACAAATTAAATATTTAATTACCAATTGCTTAATACTGGCAGACAATCATTTGACCCATAGGTGGCAGCCATCTCAAGCCAGAGGACGAGAGGACTCTAGCCGCCACGCATATAAAGGATTTATAGTGAAAAACTTTGTTTTTACGGGTTATACTTATTGCAAGCTGTGTTTTAAAAGCGTACGTTCATGGCCAATCTGAGAACTCGCCTGTTGATGTTTTTCATTTCGCCTTTTGTGGAAGTGGCAACTTATGAGGCGTCCAGAGAATACTTTTTTAGGGAAAGATATGTGCAATGCTACTAGAGCCTGAAAAAAATGGTCTGTTTTGGGGATGGGACAATATTGGCCATGAAAAATAATAATTGAGTTTATAGTGTCTATGTAACTCCTTTGCCATCTTAAAGTTTAACCTTACATATTTAATAAGGCCAGTGTTTCGTATTACTTGCACTAAAAAAAATGCTAATGCAGTATAGTGTTTTAAAAAATGTGTATAATAATAATTTCCTTTATTTATTCAGGATATTCTTGCTGAGTCTCAAAATTGTTTCTTGGGGGAGGGGGGGGGGGTCCAGTAATGGGAGATGTTTGGTCAATTTCTTTTTAATGAGTGTTTAATAATTCATGTCACCTACATACTCGAATGCATTTACAATAAAAGTGTTATATTTAAATAAGCAAAATAACTTAAAGTGTAATAGATATTCTGCTTTTTCACTTGTAGAGAAGTAAGCACTTTCATTATTACTAATTTTACTGTGATGCATATATTATTGAAATCTATGTTAGCTTTGCAATGCGTGTGCATTTATTATTTTTATCATAAAGAGATCACTTGAAAAGTTTTCTGATTACAATGTCCTCGTGACAGGTGAATCATACACTCCGTTCTTTATCGCTGCTGGTATTATAAACGGTAAATAATCGCTGCGTGATTGAAGCCACATTGTTGACATCAGACATTAAGGGTGGCATCAAAAAGAAAACTGGTGAACAGCAATGAAACTGATTTAAAGCTTTCGTGACTTCAGGAATTCATATTCTTGGTTCTTTCGGTAAAGTCACGTAGAAGGGAAATAATAAAATAATAAAAATATTTATAAAAAAATTCTCACGACTTTTCGACTGCAACACAAGCAATCATCATTAGGTGTGAAATCCACAGCAAGAAAATTTTCACAACAAGAAAATTTTCACAGCAAGATTTTCTTGCGGATTTGTGTTGATTGCTTGTGTTGCAGTCGAAACATCGTGTGAATTCTTATTGTTTTATATTTTCATTATTTTATTATTTCCTTCTACGTGACTAATCCGAAAAGAACAAATATATATATAGCAATGAAACTCTCAAATGGACAGCTTTTCTCAATGAAACTCAATGCAATGAGTCCTCCGGTGGGCTGGCAGTGTTCAGAAGCAGAGTGCACGTCAACATTTGAATACACTGGAGAATAGTCACAGAGTGCGCTAAGATGCACGACTGGATGATTACAGAATAACATTTAAAAAAACGGAGAAACTCTTCGATAAAGGTGCAATAATACACATCTCGTGAGCCTTGTAAAAACACTTTATCTTGGACGTAAAAATATAAGTGCATGAAGGAGAACATTTTATGTGTTCCTCACAGTTAAGCAAAACAATTATGTAAGTTAAATACACAAGGCAGTAAACAGTATTTGTATGTTTTTTTAAATGTCAACAAGTGCTGTCTAAGAGTTGAAATCTCAAGGCACATCATGGGAAGAGCATTAATTTCTTAATTTCGGAAAAGCTAATAAAAATGGTCTCTCCCCAATTTAATTACAATCGTGTTCATGGCGTCATCTCTGATTCTGATGTCACGAGCATTGTGACTCGCCACCTGTGCACTGCACTTCTCCACACGTCCTCATGCAGAGAGGCATGTATGCTCTGTGCCATTTGAAAAAATATATTTACTGTGTGTACGACACACATTTAACTAATGCAATCGGACCCAATTTGATGACGATTATTAATTGGGTGCAGCCTTCAGTAGCTGGGTTGAGTGACAGCATCAACTCGGCACATCAACTCATACGGACGCTCGAGATTGCGAATCATCGGCACGCTCACGGACAACGACACAACGCGAGCGTTCACAACACTGCCACGTTCGTCTAGCCATCTGTAATAAAGGACTCCTTCACACGATGTTGGTCCTTTATTGATGTTCTTCTCCTTCTCGCCCCGCTGGCCTCCTCCTCGGTCCAGCGTCGTCTCTTGCGCCCCGCGCGCTCTGCTGCTACTCTGCTGCCTGTGCAACCTCGCACCCTCTGCTAGCCCTCCGCTAGCCCTGCAGCGACTCTGCTGCCTGTGCAACCTCGCACCCTCTGCTAGCGCTGTTGCTACTCTGCTGCTACTCTGCTGTCTGTGCAACCTCGCGCCCTCCGCTAGCCCTGCAGCTACTCTGCTGCCTGTGCAACCTCGCACCCTCTGCTAGGCCTCCGCTAGCCCTGCAGCTACTCTGCTGCCTGTGCAACCTCGCACCCTCTGCTAGCCCTCCGCTAGCCCTGCAGCGACTCTGCTGTCTGTGCAACCTCGCGCCCTCTGCTAGCCCTCCGCTAGCCCTGCAGCGACTCTGCTGCCTGTGCAACCTCGCACACTCTGCTAGCCCTCCGCTAGCCCTGCAGCGACTCTGCTGCCTGTGCAACCTCGCACCCTCTGCTAGCCCTCCGCTAGCCCTGCAGCGACTCTGCTGCCTGTGCAACCTCGCGCCCTCTGCTAGCCCTCCGCTAGCCCTGCAGCGACTCTGCTGTCTGTGCAACCTCGCACCCTCCGCTAGCCCTCCGCTAGCCCTGCAGCGACTCTGCTGTCTGTGCAACCTCGCACCCTCTGCTAGCCCTCCGCTAGCCCTGCTGCTACTCTGCTGCCTGTGCAACCTCGCACCCTCTGCTAGGCCTCCGCTAGCCCTGCAGCGACTCTGCTGTCTGTGCAACCTCGCACCCTCTGCTAGCCCTCCGCTAGCCCTGCAGCGACTCTGCTGTCTGTGCAACCTCGCACCCTCTGCTAGGCCTCCGCTAGCCCTGCAGCTACTCTGCTGCCTGTGCAACCTCGCACCCTCTGCTAGCCCTCCGCTAGCCCTGCAGCGACTCTGCTGTCTGTGCAACCTCGCACCCTCTGCTAGGCCTCCGCTAGCCCTGCAGCTACTCTGCTGCCTGTGCAACCTCGCACCCTCTGCTAGGCCTCCGCTAGCCCTGCAGCGACTCTGCTGCCTGTGCAACCTCGCACCCTCTGCTAGCCCTCCGCTAGCCCTGCAGCGACTCTGCTGTCTGTGCAACCTCGCACCCTCTGCTAGGCCTCCGCTAGCCCTGCAGCTACTCTGCTGCCTGTGCAACCTCGCGCCCTCTGCTAGCCCTCCGCTAGCCCCGTGCAACCTCGCACGCCCTGTGCGCCCCGCGCACTCCGCTCTCTCCGCACCCCGCTGGCTGGCGCTGTCTGGCGAGCCCTATCAGCCTCGCGGCTGAGGGCACGGCGGCCACCCAACGTGGTCTCCCTCTTCACTCCCTCGACTGCTCCGGATGTCTTCCGGTTTCCTTCCTATAACCTCTCTCCCACGTGACCCTGACTCCTCCCTCTCCCACGTGACCCTGACTCCTCCCTCTCGGATCGTCACATCCGGCCTGCCCATTTACGCTCGCATTACACATCCATTCGTTCGTCTATCCGTCCGGTCGTTCATCTAGCCGTACAGTCGTTCGTCTAGCCGTACAGTCGTTCGTCTAGCCGTACAGTCGTTTGTCTAGCCGTACAGTCGTTCGTCTAGCCGTACAGTCGTGGTGGTCAGTCGGACGCCTAGATGGCGAATCGTGAACGTTATAGGAGTGAGCGTTGGGCATGAGTACCAGGGTGATGGAAGAGTTATAGAGACCCGGGGGTGGGGGGGTATTAAAGCACAATAACGACTGTGCACATACACACACAAGAAATGGAGAGTGACTCAGCGTCCTTTACATTAACAATTGCAAAGATCGGGGAGGGAATGATAATTTCGGACTCAAGAATGCAACCCTATTTTCGAATAAGGTCTATTATTTTCCTGTACATATTTTTGGTGGCTGTGATATGCTTTTGTCGAGATAAAATGTCTGTTTCTTGCTACGGTAGGAAAGTTAATGTATTTTGTTCATCAGTGCACACCTAAATGCATTGTTTGGTCACAGCGATTGAACATAATTTTTTGTCCGCTAAATGTTGCCTGCCTCCTAGCGCAGACCGTTGTGTCTGGGTGCCTTTGCTCACAGACAACGTGAGGAAAAGCGCCTTTTAATATTGTGGACTAGAGCAGGACAGGCAGTGCTTGTCCGGGTGGCTGTAGTTCATATCCCAGATCATTGTCGGCGAGTTGCATGTTACTCGTGCGCACAAACGCACGCGCGGAGAAGCACTGCGTTTCTTCATGGGATGTAGCTGCTCACCCCGAGGTCTCATTACTCTGATAGTGCATTGTCTTTGTACTGTGTACGCCTTTTTGGCGTCCTCTGGTCTAACACGTTTTGAGACTAGGCTCCAAAGAAAGCTGTCTCTGGTGTGGACCAATCAGTTTCAAGGAGAATACTGTACATATATTATCAGAGTACGTTTTTTTGTTTGCATTCTGACCACAAGTATTGTGGTTAATGCAGACATGATTCCTTGTAAAAGGTTTCAGTTTGGCGTTTTAACAACTTAACACCT